CCTAAACCCTGATACCCTAAACCCCAAAGCCCTAAAACCCTAAAGCCCTAAACCCTGATACCCTAAACTCTAAAGCCCTAAACCCTAACGCCCTAAACCCTAAACCCTGATACTCTAAACCCTGATACCCTAAACCCGAACACATGGGGAGTTCTCTAATTAAACTGGGGTCCCCTTTTGGGTCCCCAATATAGTACGGCACCCTTGTAAAAAGGACCCCAAGGGTTTAGGGTTTAGGGTTTAGGGTTTAGGGTCCCCAAAAGGGACCCTTTTTTAGAGAATGAACTACCCACATACCTGACAAGGATCCAATATGGGCTGAAACCCGAGCGGTCAGTTCGCTCCTTATCCGCTCGGGCCCGAAGCAGGAACTGCACCACCTGGGCTTTTTTCGGGTCTAGGGTTTAAGGTTTTTTTTGGGGTTTAGGGTTTAGGGGTTTTTTAAGGCCGAAAGGACATACTATCAAGGTTCTAGGCTGAGAGGGGTTATATGTGGGGTTTTATGAGGGTACTGCAAGAGGTTCTGGAGTGGTCTGCAGGGGTTGTAAAGGGTAGGACGGGGCTTTCAAAACGTTCCACAGCGGTTCTTTACAGTTTTTTGCTTCGTGGTCAAGGTCTCGAAGGATTCTTGGGAGGGTTCTTGTCTTTTTGAAAAAACTGTCTTGTGTGCTTCTTGCTGCAAAGTACTGCAAGATTCTCTTGTAGGGGTTTACAGCGGTTTTTAGGGTTTAGGGGTTTGAAGGGTTTTGGGGTCAGGCTATTTGATGTTGTAAGGGTTAGGATTCTTGTTGGCAGTATTTCAGTTGCAAGGGAATATGGGACTAGGGATTCTGGCCCAGGATTCGTCACAACCGTGCTGTACTCCAAAAACCGAGGAACGTCGTAGTGTCCCTCTGCAGCGGCAAGCCAAAGGGGCGCGCGCCCATCATTTGGATGGGACCCTTCCTGTGCTTTCGCCGGGGGCTATGCTGAAAAATCATGTTTCTCTAAACCCTAAACCCTGAAACCTATATACACTCTTTGCACCTAAAACCTAAATCCTAAACTCTCAGCCCCCAAACGGTGCGCCTAAAATCCTCAGCCCTTCATCGCACGCCCCCTACGATCGCAGGGCATCGATGTTGGCGCCAGCTTCAAGGAGAAGTCGGACGACGGAGAGATGGCCTGAAGCAAGGCAGAAAGTGCAAACAAACTACTACTATGAGGGCCTTTTTAATTACCTATATTTCTTTTGTGCGTTCCTTATTATAATACTACTATAAAGGGGCCCAAAACCCTATTCTGAGTATTAAGGCCCTTGCCTTAGTCTATGTAGGGTTTAGGGTTTAGTATTTATAGAGGCTTTCTATGTGGGGGTCTATCGGGTTTCTATGAGACTAACGGTTGGGGCCGCAAAGATTTTTCGTTTATCACCGTCTTTTCGGTTGTCGGATTAATATGAGCTTTTACAGAGTGTCTTTAACTCTCTTCTTCAACAACCAGGCCCAAAAAAGTTCAAACTTTTTAGGGTAGACTTAATATATAAGGCCAAAAAGTTTAAAGTTCTCCCATTGGCTATCTAAGCTAAGGGCTGTTGATTGGGTTTATCTAGCTGTTTAGGGTTTGTTCTTTGGGCCATAATGATTAGAACAGGGCCTTTGGGCATATTCTATTCGAGTTGTACAGACCCTTGAACTGTGTAAAACAGTAAAAGCCTTGCCAAACTTAACATTTCATCCCTCCTGAGGCTCCAATACCCCTCTGTTAAGGAAGATGCCAAAAGCACTTCGACAGGCTCCTTTTGCATTTTTTTAATAAGGGGAACAAGCGGAAGCAAAAGAGCAAAGGTGTACTACTGGGGAACCTAGCTAGTATGATACAAGGCAAGTGCCACAACTCAGCGGTTTGAGGCTCCCTGCACTCTACCCTTTCGCAAGAACGGGTTTAGGGTTTTTTGGTGTAGGGGTTCGAAGCTTTGGTGCGTAAGTGTAGGGGTTTTTGGCTTTGGTGTGCAGGGTTTAGGGTTTAGGGCTTTAGGGTTTAGGGTTTAGAGCCCTCTGAGGCGCTTGTCAAACCTTACTTGTCCAATATCACCAAACCCTTTCAGTGACCCTCAACTTCAAATGGAACCGCTACAGGACTACCCTGTGAGGTCTTCTCCAATTCCTCTAAACCCTAAACCCTGAAACCTGAAACCCTAAACCCTAAAGCCTCCCCTAAACCCTAAATCCTCTTCAATAACAACCAGGCCGAAAAAACGCAAACTTTTAAGATTTTAGGGTCTAGGCCTATATATACGGCCAAAAAGTTTACAGTTCTCCCACTGGCCGTCGGAGACACCCTAGACCCCAACCCCCCACCTCGGCGAGCAGCGGCCCCCAAAGGGGTGCAGGGGCCTCGCCGATCTTTGTCGGCGCCGGACTCAAGGAGCAGCCGCACCTTCAGGGAAACCCCAAACTCTCAACCCTCAAAGGTTAGGGTTTAAGGCTTAGGGTGAGGGTTGAGGGTTTAAGATTAGGGGTTAAGGTTTGCGTTTGGGGTTTAGATTTCGGTAGAGCGGAGTCTTCAGGGTTTGCAGGCGTTCTGCCGGATGCGTCGGATGCTGGGGCAGTTTTAGACGATCGAGGTTTCAAGGGCGGCTAGTCCGCTTGACATTCTTTTGTTTGGAGCGGCAGGGGTCGGGGGGGGAGGGTTATCGTTTGCAGGATGCCCTAGACCCTAAACCCTAAGCCCTAAACCCTAAGCCCCTGTTAGCTTTAGCTTTCTGCTTCTAGGGCTTACGGGCTCAGGGGCTTGGAGGTTTAGGGGGTGAAGGTTGCTGTATTCACAGTTTCAGGGTCAAGGACTCAGGGATTCTTGGCCAGCTTAGGCTTTGTGCGGCTTAGGGGTTTCCCTAAACCCCTAAACCCCTAAACCCTAAACCCTAAACCCTAAACCCTGAACCCTAAACCCTAACCCTAAACCCTAAACCCCCTAAACCCCAACAACCCCTCAAATTGCAGCTGTCTGGGACAATTCAGGGTTTAAAGCCTTTCGGCGGCCGTAGCCTCCCCCCTGGTTGTGGTGTTGTGTTTAGTTGGTCCTTAGAGCATTCTGCGTGTGTAGTCTGGGGTTCAGTTGAGGGTTCAGTTGCTTTAGGGATAAGGATTGGGTGTTTAGCGCTTAACTACACCCCTACACTCCTCAGTTGTGTTTCTTTCATGAAGAGGCCCGATGACATCTGGCATGAAGCCCTCAGCCGCCAAACTCACAAAGCTTAAAGCCCATGCTCTAAACCCGGATTTCGGCCATCAGGGTTGGTATTGGAGAAAACACTTTATAATATGCTCAGGTTCATCCTTTTGGACTTTTTACTCCCCTAAAACCTAAACCCCTATACCCTAAACCCTAAACCCTAAACCCCTAAACTTTAAACCCTAAACCCAATTCCCTAACCCCTAAACCCTAACCCCTAAACCCAAACCCCCTAAGCCCAAAAACCTAAACACCTAAACCCTAAACCCTAAAACCTAAACCCCTAAACCCCAAACCCTAAACCCTAAACCCTAAACCCCAAACCCTAAAGACTAAAGACGAAACCCCCCAAAAAGGAAACCCTTTGCCTGCTCGTCCCTGCCCTCCTCGCAGGACCAAACAAGAGGAGTCCGGCCCAGGGTGCCTGGGATGTTTCCTTTAGGGTTTAGGGGTTTGGGGTTTGGGGTTTAGGGTTTAGGGTTGAGGGTCTAGGGGTTCAGGGGTTTAGGGTTTGGGGTTTAGGCTTTAGGGGGTTCGGGCTTGGGGTTTCGGCTTTAGGGTTTATGCTTCGGGGGTTTGGGTTTAGGGTCTACTTAAAGGATCATGGGACTTAGTAAGTAGGGTTATTATTAAGGTAAGTGTACTTATATTGACTTGTAACACCATTTAAGAGACTTATATCTTTACTTACTACGTCCCATGATCCTCCAAGTAGGGTTTCGCTGGTTTGAAGATTTGTAGGGCTCTGGGGCACGGGATGAGGGTTTGGGGGTTTTCACCTTCTGGGATTTTAGGGTGGTGTGGATAAGGGTTAAAGCAGGATTCAATAAGGATCTTGAGGATTTCAGGTCTTGTTCGTGGACTTTAAGTCTGCGGTTTTTTAGGTTTTAGAGAAGGGTTTGGGGCCCAGGGGCTTTGCATACAGGGATCTGACGCAAGAGCGAAAAGTCTAATTAATCTTCTATCCTGTCGCGGTTCCTCTGAGGAAGCAGGACACAAAACAGGAAAACCTAGAGCCTTCAAGAATTGTAAGTTTTTAGCTGCTTCGTAGGGATTATCGTCGACAAAAATTAAAACTGTTTCCAAGTACCCCTAAGGAGTACTCCAGAGCCCAGAGCACAAGTTTGATTGGCATCAGCTTCTGCGTCCAACAGCAGCTGTGCAATATCCAAGTGGCCCTCCTGCACAGCCCATGCAAGTGGGGCTCGCCCTTTGAAGTTCGTGTTGGCGAGCATGTCCTTTCAGGAACCAAAAACGCACCCAAGACTAGACGTTTCGGGAGATATCCCTGCTTTGTTCGTACTTCACAAAAAACGATGGGAACTTCCAACCGTATGGCTTAGGGTCCGTGTCCTTGTCGACACCCGTCTCCAACAAGAGGCGCACGGTGTCCAAATGACCAGCTGCTGCTGCCGTCGCAAGGGGCGTGTCGTACACAGTGGTGCCCTCTCTGGGGAGTGCTTGCCTAGCCCCAGCATCCAGCAACAACCTCACAACGTCGATAAAGCCGCGCTCAGCTGCAACCGCAACGCAGGTGGTTCGGCTGTTCCTTGCTTGCTCTTGCGCTTGACTCTGATTATCGTGTGCAACCAGTGTAGCCGTTGCCACTACCAACTACTTCTGAATCCGCTCGCCCCTCCGTCTATCGCGTGCCATGTTGTCCTCAGCCCAAACTTGATCGCCTTGAAGACCCTTTTGGTTCCGTTAAGCCAGGATCACCACCACAACTACCGTCATCAATTCTCCTCTTGCAGCATCATGGCCGTCGTCAAGAGAAGTAACCAGGCAATGCCTTTAACCTAAACCCTAAACCCCTAAACTCTACACCCTAAACCCTAAACCTTACACCCTAAACCCTAAACCCTAAACCCTAAGCCCTACAGCCTACACCCTAAACCCTACACCCTACACACCCAACCCTACACCCGAAACCCCAAACCCTATACCCTAAACCCTAAACCCTACACCCCAGTTTGTCGAAACCATGTATCTGCTTCCAAGCTTCGGCTGTGTAATCTGGCGGCGACAGTGAGAGGCGTCCTTGTTCGCCTTCTAGACTTTGAAGTAACCAGGGAGAAAGAGTATAGACTTTAATTTCATAATGGCTCCTTTAAGGAACAGGTCCCCAAAAAAGTTTTAAAGTATGGTACGCCAAAGCCCAGCCTTTGCTTCCAGAAGCAGCCTGACGATGCCTGGGGGGGCTGAGGATCCTGCCCCCCCTAAAAGCGGTGAAGCTTCAACTTCTAGTAGGGTTTAGGGTTTAGGGGTTTAGGGTTTAGGATGTAGGATTTTTGTTAAGCCCCAAAAGGTGAACCTTCAACCTATGGTAGAATATTATATTTATCACTGGGTTGCTCTTTACTACCTAGCTAAAATTACAACTTTTAGTACCCCTAGTATCAAAAAAGGCTAATCCTAAAAGTGATAAAGCTATAAAGTGACTGTGAAGTTCAACCAAGATCAGCCCCAAAAGGTTAACCTTCAACTTATCTTAGAATTATAACAACAGAAGCCTCCCCAAAGGGTCAAACAACAGTACCTACTCAGCCGCTAAGATGCTGTCATGTCCGCGCTGGGACGCAACCCAGAGCGCTGGCAGGGTCTCACTGCCAAGGAAGTCAGGGTCCCTGGGCCTACCCAGGATCTCCTCCACCAAAGCCTGGGCTTTTTAAGGGTTTAAGGTTTAGGGTTCTATATGGTCAAGTTACCGTTTAGGGCATTTTAGGGGTTTAGGGTTTTAGGGTTTGGGGGTTCGGGGGTTTTAGGGTTTAAGGGTTCAGGAATTTAGTTTCTCAGTTGCCAGAATAAGGGAACCATATCACTTGCCCCAGATTCCCTATGTATGCTAGCTTATCTGGCTCTTGTTTGGGGCTAGATTAACGAAGATCATTTTTGATTCTTTATTGGGTTTTATTAAAACAAAAATGTAACATTGGAGCCGACAAGGACCCCCAAACCCTAAACCCCTAAACCCCTAAAGCCCTAAAGCCTAAACCCTAAACCCCTAAACCCCGAAGCCCAAGGACCCAGTTATAGCTAGGGTTCCTTAACAGAGGGGCCATGAAGCTTCCAGACCCTCCTCTGCTGCCTTGGAAAGGTTTGCATCCATGTTGTCGGAGGCATCGGAGAAGCCTGGGTTGCTCTTTACTACGGTTTAGGGTTTAGGGTTTAGGGTTTACTAATCTTATAACTTTTAGTACCCCTAGTATCAAAAAAGGGCTAATCCTAAAAGTGATAGAGCTCTAAAGTGACCGTAAAGCTCAACCAAGAAGCGTAGGAGCACCAGCTGAAGGTCCAAAGGTGAATTCAAGACAGCTCCGTCATCCAACATGACGCCATCATTCAGAAGTCTCTGCCTGAATCGTGGAACCCTAAGCCGTAAACCCTAAACCCTAAACCCTAAACGCCAAACCCCAAACCCAAAACCCCAAA